GGTATCAAAAATAATATATTTTCATGAGATGGTTATACCCAACGTTGTGATTTAAAAGGAAGCAAGTGGGGTACTGCAACGGCAAATAGTCCGTGACATCATTGTATTTTCGTAAAGCTTTATACCAACTCGTGGGCTCTTTTCACTATTTATAAAACTGTCTAATTTATGCGCGATGTTCTCATGCTCGAGAATTGTATGAAACAAGTGGTGATGGATCATGAAACAATTGAATATCTCATCTCACTGATGGATAAGTTAATTGAGACAGAGAACACGAAGAAATGGGGACAAAATATTACTGTCGGGAGTTTTATGGAGTCATTGCGAGGTGAGAATAAGTGAGATGATATCTTTATGATTCTATATTCATAAATTGTTCATGGAACCTTTTCAAATACTCAATTATTGAAAAAAAAAATAGCATCGAATTTCACCTGTAATCTACATAATTCATGCCCCCCCCCCCCCCCCCCCGCCGATATTTCAGATCTTAAGAATCGTTACACAATAAGGATGGGGAAGAATCGATGTTTGTCCTTTGATTCTCGGAGAGGGCGAAAAGCGACGAAGAATATCAGATTCATGAGGTGTGAATAATGCAAGATACGACGTGAATTTCTACGTGGTGTTAAATTTGGCTCGTCTTACACTCAACGCACATACGTTAGATATATATTACATATCCTCCACTATGGGGAATGAGCATATGTACACATGTGCACAAAGAATATCTCCGGGTGATATCGTCACCGGGTCGACGCAACAGAAGTTCCCAGAAAGAAATAGCACTCATCCCGGTTTTTATTTTTTCACTCGTCGATTTTGTCAGAAATCGCGTTCCTTATATTTTTTATATATTGTACATATGATGTTCTGTTGACAGTTTATCTGTGCGCTCTATTCGCTTGAAGATTGTGCATGAACTTTATGGGTTTCCCATCATAATATACAAGGAAAAAAAAAGATGAAATGACATCTGTTGAGCAGTTGTATGAAGACTGGAGAGAAGTTTCGAGTCTAAAGAAAAAATTTATCAAAGTTTTGTTCATAAATGTTAGCAATTTTTTCTGGCTTTATATTTATCTCGTACAAGATAGATGAAGCACGCAATTATTGAACCACTTTGCCTCTATTACTTGTACTATGCAACCTATAGCCCTATTTATTTAACATCAAAGAATACCCTTCATCTCTACATATGTAATCCAATATGAAAGCAATGAGAGAAAAGAAAGCAAGAGAGATAGAGTGAGGGGGGGGGGGGAGGACAAAACCAACGGCGAAGGTGAAAAATTATCTTTTGTCATTCTTTGCAAAGTTCAGTTATTCTTTCTATTTACTTTTTCTCTTTAGAACCGAACAGTATAGAACACACCCACTCCGCCCTTTCAAACCAGTTTGACTCGTCGCCTACGCGTATCCCGATGCCTTATAATACCACACGCATGGGGGACAAGAGGATTTAAAATTAAAAGAAATAAAAGGGAAGAGGAATATACGGTACAGACGCATCATAACCTTGGGATTTCTACTCTTCCACCAATAATCCACAATATTTTCAATGTTCTTAAACTCTTGCTTATTAACATTATATTAATATTCACTGGTGAAATCACAGTTGAGAAATATTAAAAAGTATAAAACAAAAGTACATTTAAAAAATCGAAAAATTGTATGGAAAACAATGGAATTGTTTGAATCATTTTCTTCTATTAGATAGAAGGGAAACGAAATGAAAAGTTTTTCATTACACTATCATTCTCATTAAGTTACGTTTTTCCGATTTGAAAATACTGTGAAATTGTCAAATTGTTAATATTAATGATTTGAGGAGTTTCATTTTGTCCAAAGTTTATACTGAACTAGGCGACTAAATACAAAGTAGTATGTGAGAGAACACCAGAATTTTGATACAGTTGCATGCAATGTGTTCTTCAGTGGGGGCTTAAAACGCCGGAGGAGTAGAGATCCTACCTGCCCGAGCGTCGAACTTACTGCGGGAAATTGTTCAGCTCTTCAAATAGACGAGCAAAGGAGTTACTTCCGTCTACTGTATCACTTGCTTGATCATATTCCTTCATATCGCTAAAAACTCTTCCTAATATTATGTACCGCCAATTTCGCGTGCGAATTGCCGGAATTACTCAATGCTTTCATTTGATTTCCAACAAATACTCCGGTCTGTGCGTTAATCATCAATTTTCAATTGACAGTTTTTTCTCATTTCATTAAATTATTGATTCAGTAAATTTCTAGAAATTCATTGGAATAGTCAATTGACCGCATTCAAGCGGAAATGCATTATTTTTTCCCAGATATTTGCAATCAATGGTATGAAATTTCAATGAGTTGTCCAGATATCATTTGTGATTTGCGTACTAAATTTCTTTGGACCTTTCTGATGAAAATGTACAACTTAGTCTTGAATTCCTCAATAAATCAAAATCAATGACATGTTATGTATTTTGTCTGCGGCTGGTGTCACATTACCAGACTCTTTATTTATTATCAACGCAATCGTAATTTGATCCTCCTCGGAAATCTCTCATCATTCATAACCCAATCGATGTGCCTTCATCCGCTCAATAACTTTCTAAGCATCGAATTATTATATTTACCCGAAGCCCTTGAATGGCCTACATGGTTGAAGGTATTATTATTATTATTATTATTATTATTATTATTATTATTATTATTATTATGATTTTTTAAATACATTTTTTGCACAAAAAAGAGTTGATTAACATACGAGAAGTTGTTTGGGCGCATTTCAATGTCTAACACAGAAACTTATGAAATTGCGAAACCCTAACACAGATCAACTAAACTTATCTTCGTTTGCTTATGTATACATAAGTCTTCTGTATTTTTTTCCTCTTACTTTTCGTTTCCCGTTTTATTTTCATTGTTTACTTATATAATGAATAATGCGAATGAAAATTATTATATGACATATTATTCTTCTCTATAAAAATTTGGCATCTCTTATATTATTTTTTTAAACTCATCTCACCTCCCTCTACACTATCACCCCTTCCCAGCTACCCCAATATTCCAGCCGGAGTTAATTCAATCGATCACGTAGATGAATGTAAAAAGAAGAAAAGAGAAACAAAAACCGAGGGAATTATTAATGGAGTTAAGCCATCAATATTTGGGGGTAAATCCTCATTGCTCCTTCTCCCCATTCTTGTCTTTAAATCCAGATACCCAACCGACTCTTTTAAAAATTGTCATCTCTTACACTCAGACATTTAAGATATTGTCAATTACCATTGTCAATCCAGCATCAATATTGTAATAAAAAATTCATTGGACTGCAACGCCGCCGAGCAATCAAATTATCATAGAGTTGAAAATATGAAGAAATGAGCTGTCTCAACACAACCGTAACGAAATCACTTTTTCATAGATAATGAATTTAATTCAATATCCGGTTGTCGAGACTTGTGATTTGGTGACAGGATTAATATATTATAAATCACAAGAGGAAACTCTTCATTGAGAACGTTTCCTGTCAATTCATAGTTTCCAATGCCAAAGAAATATCACGGAAAATTGAATTTTTCGAGTCTGGACGGGGAAGCGGTACCTTTATTTTTAGAAGATTTATCGAGAATATTGGTAAAAAATAAGGGAAAACGGATAAGATAAATTGATGACTTGATTACATATAAAAATCTGTTACTATTCCATAGCATCGGGGATATTTCTTATCGCAATTGCTGACCGTTATCATCCGCGCATCGATTTTTTTTCATGAATGTATCGCCAGTATTGAATTGAAAGAATTCTATTAAATTTTTTTCGTTTTAATTTATTTGAACCGCCTTCGCGACTGATAATCATTGACAATTATTGCATTTAATTTAATTTCAATTCAAGGTTGATGGATCTTGACAAATCAATCGAGACGTTCAGTCGTTCGTCTGTCTCTTGCGCACAAAAATTGCTGCTGAAATTTTGAAATCTCGAGACGTTCAGATTATCTTAGTAAATTCCTCAGCTGATCCCACAAATATCACGGAAATTCTCAGAATACGGTGTCTACTGTCTGCCATCAGTCCCCCTCGTCTACCTCCGCGATTCTATTCCTAACACCGGTAGACACTCACACGGCCAAGATCAAATTTGTTGAGTTGATTTCTTTGAGCAAGTCTGTGGAATATCACGACTGCCATTAACATCTCATTTATAGCTTATCGAGATTGTACGAGTTGTGTATAAAGTTGAAAAAAAAAGAAAAAAAAAGAAAATGTACAAGTTGCAGTTATTTCTTATATGTCTGCTTTTAAAGACAAATCGTAAGAGCCTTTTTCTGCAAGACAAATTTCGGAGAACATCTCACGAAATAATCTTTGGTCTCTAATGCCAGTCAAGTTCCTGGAGAATTATCGTGTTACATCACTTATGTAGATATTGGTGTTTAGCAATTTATGTAAATTATGTAGTTTCCAGTCTTTTTTTTCAGTGCCCTTCAATTGATTTCAGATTTTCATTGCCTCAAGATACAATAAGATACCAAACAACAAGGAATGTGACAGTAATTTTCTTGAAATTGAATATTGCAAATTGTACGTGTACAGTTGTTGTAGATTAAACTACACCGATTTATTGGGAATTTAAAAATTAAGTTTAAAAGAAAAACAAAAAATACTTTTCCCAACTATTGATGAAATTCACCACTGAATTTGGTCAATTTATTAACATCCACAAAAAATGAATATAAGTTACAAGATGCTCAATTGATAAAATGTAATTCTTGGACAAAGAAGTTGAGTTCAAAATTATAACGAAATTATTTCGCAAATATGCCGACAACAATCGGATTTAGACATAAAAAAATGTGTGAAAGACCTTTTTTTGTACTCCATGGAATACTCTATGTTAAAAAAAACATTTATAATTATCTTCATCATTTATAATTGTCGTCTGCCCTTTTTATTTCGCTTTACGATAAATTTCCTTTTTAATTCTTGAAAACTGATCAAATTTACCTGATGACCATTGCCGATCGCTACATGAAGAAGATGACAAAGCAGCACAGCCGCGATTGCACTCCTAATCAACACCATAGCTCTTGTCTCCCGACGACAAGAGGATAATCTCTATAATTTCCCTCTGGATTACTCAAATTTACGTATTCCACAGACACATTTTGACGATTCACAACACGAGGAAAACAAAAAAAATGTCTCAGATCTCAAATCTTACTCAATAAAACTAGAAGGAAAAAAAATTAAAAATTAAGAATCAATCAATTGAATATTCTTCCGATTTTATTGATCACTAAAAATGAATAAACACTTGAAATTTAAATTTAAAGGCAAACAATCAAATCGCTACTAATGATTCACCGGGACCGTTCGTCGATGCACTCGGTACCGGCGTTCGGTAGGGTCTGAGCGCCGGCGGGACAATTTTCTTTCAAAATTTTTTTTTCTCCTCTCCCTCCGCTGATGGAGAAATTTTGGTTTTTTTGTATTTTTTCAACTTTTTTTTGTAATCGCCCTATGCGAAATTTGAACGCACCGTGTCTATGCTGTGCTATTTCACTACTGTCTCACTCTGGCAGTCAAGAGTGTGACTGATGCGTTAGTGAAGCGAGTGAGAGGACTAAACTCTTTTTTAACGTGTTCCCCACAGCATGAACAGACGGAGAGTCGATCTCGGGATGAGATTCCCGCAGTCGTAGGACGGCAACTCCGGTTGTGCGGCTCTCTGGCCTCTCCCCCACCATGTCGACAATACGCCACGCTGACTCGAGACCTATCGAGAGGATTGCACAGAATATGGGGGGGAGAGAAGGGGTTTTCAATCGGTTGGTATATATTTTTATTAATTATTTACTGGTTTAGTCACAGTTTTCCGTTAAAATTTTCCATTTTCCGTCCGAATGGAAGCTTTATAATGTTGGTTTTTCCCATTTTGATATAATTTTGGGTGAAATTATGTTTTTCCATAATTATTACGTCAATAACTCCAGAATGAATATGTGCAATTGTACATTTATTTATTAGAAATGAAAAAGTCCATTCTAAAAGTATAATGTGCAATCCTTTCATATAACGAGAGTCTGGAAGACAAGATTGAAGAATCGACTAGGTGCCTTTATCGATGAATTGTTGAGTTTTCTCTTCAGAAAATGATGATCATCAATGATTCATCTCAATGCTATTTCTGATCATCCTCCAGACATCTTGAACCACCGGCGTTAATCAACGCTCTTCATATCTGTCTATTTTATCAACAATTAGCCCGAAATCTAGACCACATTCAGCATATTATATGAGCTGAACGACTCGACAATTCGACTCCTAGTTTTCGAGGTAAGCAGAATATTTCATTTAAATAGTTTCTCGGAGGTCCAAAACTGGATCAACCTGTATATATTATTTCTCAAAATTGATCAGCGTCAGATACAATTTACGTTGAGTAGACGCGTTAGACTTGCCGTTAGGCCGGCCAAATTTCAAAGATCTTTTTGTTAGTAAAATATAAAGATGCCTTTCTGATGTGATTAGTTTATCAGACAGTTGACGCGAATAATTATTAACCATCCGCATCTCTCGCCGTATTACCAAAAATAAATATGCAGTCACTGAGCTTATGAGTTTTGTGGCCTCATTTCAATCGGTCACAATCCCAAAATAAATAGTTGAATAATTCGACTGCAATATATTTATTCTTAAGTCAATGAATTAGAAAATTTGCGACACTTCAATATCCACTACTGATTCCAATTAACACGTGTTAAAAAAATGAGATATCTAAATACCCTGACAATAAGTATGAGAACTAAACCGATCAATTGCCCTCTCTGACCGTGGACTTTCAACAAAAAGGAGACCAGCAATATATGGATGTACAGTGGTTAGTCACAATTTCTCTGGAGTGAGTGACCCACAGCTGAACCTCATGCAAATTAAAACGAATTAAGATGAATTAAACATTCAGTGGTGTCACTACACTGACTCACTCCGTTTACTTATGTCTTTCATCTGGCTTGATTACAATCCCAGTGCTCCAGGCGCCGCCGATCCATCCGGTTATATTAGTATATTGAGGATGGTATGGATGAGTGATGCATTGAAGAGACAAAACTTATTTCAAAGAGTGACAAACGGGGGGAGGGGGGAGGGGAGGCGGAGGGATTATAAATTGATGAAATTATGTATGGTATAAAAAAATAACAAAGAGTATAAATAATAAATTTCTTCATGTTGTTTTGTTCAAACCAAAAACTCCATTGATGTAATGACATTTAAACTATCAATACTACTTTACTGCTTCAAGTAGTAAAAAAAACTAGTAAAAAAATAAAAATAAGTACAATAGCGCAATGTATAAGTTATTTTTGACGATGACATAAGCCAGATAATCTGGTTGTTCTAATCAGCAATTCTCCCAGTCTTAATTATTACTCCCTCTTTTGTTGACAACAGAGTTCAATAGTGCATAATGTCAAAATGATTCTGAAGAAATAAAAAGATTAGTTTTATTACAAAAATATATTTCAACACTGAATCCTGGGAAAAAAAGAGCAGGAGAAAAATCTTAAATTGAGTTCTTTCTGTGTGAGCTTTATGTTCCCTCTGCTCCCCCACCTATTAGAGATATTCACCCCTACATTGGTAACTAAAGCATACATTGGATACTTTCGCTTGACAATTTCACTTGTAACAAACGAATAATTTCAGAGAAATATTTGCTCCTGTTTTACCATGATAAATTATTACACACATAAACCAACAAGTGGCGCCATCCAGGGGCGACTTTTTCCTCACTCGGCCCACCGTTTGCGACGTTTGCGGGCAGTAATTAGTGCAGTAATTAGGAAATAATTTGGTCAATTTTAGGAAGTCATTTTTACCATTTAGGAAATAATAATTAATAATCATTAAAAAATTGTCAGACCGTATACTTGACAAAAATTAATGGCAATAACGAAATTTCAACTCTAATCGATGCAAAATAATTTGGGAATTACAGGAAAATAGTTTTTCCTCCTTGGGGAAGTGTCATTATATCGATTATCAGTGGAAAAAAAAATTTTTCATTGATGTATTGCCACGTGACCGCGTCACCCCCTACCAAGGTCTTACATACAGGTCTGGAAACTACCCCCAATTTTCGGTGGTGGGGATGACTCCCTTAACGGCGATAGATTTCGTAGTACCAGTAATTGTCACTTGCGGCGCGACACGTCTAGCGGACACATTCGCGCTTGCGCCTTCGGAGTTTCAGAACCAGGCTTGCGCATGTTTTGAAGACTCAATATATGTCAATTTTTTTAGATTAAGAGCAATGGAGACTGAAAACAATTAAAAATCTAAAAACTAAGAATGATATTGAAGAGAACGCTCATATTATAATATGAGCTGTCCTTTGAATATGTCTCTTTTCTTTAATGCCTCATTCTAACAGCGGTATTTAATAAATGCTCAAATTATGGATGAAAAGAGCAGAAATGTGGTGACTTGAAATGATAACTCATTAGAATGACATTTGTTCATTTATTTTTTACTATCTTCAATTTCCGGATGGATTTTTCCCATTCTCTCCTGCTCTCAATATTGTGTGGTACTTTAAAACAAGCTTTCTTCACAGGCACATGCTCGGAAAAAAAACTTCAATTGAGTATAAAATATACTTGATTCCAGTATATTTTATACTCAATTCAAATTTTTCTTCCGTGTCTGTTTCACCTGTTTTGCACTCCGCGACTACACTCTTTTTGTGGGCATTGTTTTCACACAGTATTTAATGAGTGTTTAGTTAATGAGGAACGTATAGATAAACTGACTAGTCCATTTCCTTCGTAGCTACCCCACACACTTTGGCAAATCCCCACGCACATCGATATCTCTCACCTCTGAAAATGAAGGGAACGGACTTGTCAGTCCGACAGTATATTTTTCATTGGCTGAGAAGTGTTAAAACCCCGACCGCGTTTTTTCAATGAAAATCCCCGCTTGTCACGTTACGCCCCTGGCGGTCATCAAGTGAACTTCAAAATCTGTCGACATAGTAGCCTATGCCTCCCTCTTTGATAAAGTCGTACTGGAGAGAGTGTAAGTTCGGGTTCCAATTTCTCCACCAGTATGTTATATGGAACCCAAAGCTAGAATCTCGCCAGTACGCCTGTACATACATATGAACTGATTTTGACGATTGTGTGTTGTGTTGAATAATAGTGATCCGGCCGCAAGACATTGTCGTCATTGAACCACTCGATGAATTTAGAAATAGGTGACTTTTGTTGATTCATTATATTGATCAATTCATAAATAGTTTAGTAAATCAGTTGGTTGGCATTGCAGTGAATTGTTCAAACCCTCCATGGATGGAAATACTAGGATATCTTGTTATAACGGCGACCGTAACCTTATAAATTTGTAATAATCTTCAGAGCCAGTTTTTGGTATAAAAAATATCAAAGATGAATTTTTTCATTCGTTTCAGAATTAAATGGATGAAGACAATTGCAAAAAAATGAGAGGACGCACCCGTGGAAGAGGCCGGGGCCGAACCAGAGGCAAAGTTAGAGGTCGCGCGAGAAAAACTGTCAAGGTATAACAGCATTGTGTAATTGAGCTATCTGTTCGAAAATAATTTTTCTCTTCGTCACCAGATAATTGAGAGTGATGAAGAAGATAATGTTGAACAGCATGAAGAGAGTCAAATAGATAATGGTGATGCCGCCACTACTTTGAAATCTAGTTCAGAAGATCAACAACAACAGACCGTTACCGAGCATCAATTCGATTTGGAAGCAGATATTTCGCAATTAGAAGCTCCCACCTTTACGACCATTAATCGAGGACCTCCAGAACCAATGCTGAGACTTCGATGGGATCATCGAGTCAATCTTATTGGTGAAAAAGTTCTGAACCCAATGATTCACTGCTGCGACAAGTGCCTCAAACCGATCCTGATTTATGGACGAATGGTATACCAAATATTCTTTCCTTTGTAAAATCATTACTAGATGGAGTCATCTATACTATGTAATATTTATATAATATATCATATTTATTCACTATGCAAAATTTTTTTCGTAAAAAATTTCGGGATCGGTGTTACGACCGTTTTCAAGGGGTTATATGCAAGGAATTCTACGTGGTATTTTGCGATAAGTCTTCGCAGAAATTGTTGCATTCCTTAGCCACAAGACTATTGGCCTACCGCGCAATAATCATGAGATTTCACATTTTTATCGGCTTGATTGGCTGGTCTTCAAATCAGAAATGTCGAATGAATGGTCATAGCCCTCCAATTTTAGTTCAATTCGATGTTATTAACATTAACTGATTGTTATTTACCTTTCCTTTCTTTCAGATTCCGTGTAAACATGTTTTTTGTCTATCTTGTGGTAAACGAGAAGATAAAATATGTCCCAGGTGTGTGGAAAAAGTTTCGAGAGTGGAGCAAACAGGCCTTGGTACCGTTTTCATGTGTACTCATGGTGGAACACGCTATGGAAACGCTGGATGTCGCAGAACATATCTGAGTCAACGAGATTTACAGGTAAGAGCATGGAGAATAAAGGCGAGGAGGCCGAACTTCGGACCCCCAGGTATTTAGCCGACATAGGTCACTAATTAGAAAAACGGACTTAGGTACTCGATTGTACATCATTAGTACAGGATTGTACACTGAAAACAACAATCCGATTTTGATAACTTGAAATATTCTACCTATGATGGGCTCCAATCCACGATCCTACGTATATTAATCCTAAGACATAACCACTAGACTAATGCACGATTCGAAAATTGAAAATTCGTATCCTCCATCTGAATTATGAATCGATCTAACGTTATGATATTCATTGATTGATTAATATTTGTTGATGTTAGTGATTATTTAACTATTAATTAATGATTATTATCCATTTTTCTGAATTTTATCGTTATTATTCTTCCGAATAATTGATTTTTCAGTTGCCAAAAACTGAAAAATGAACGATTTTGAATACACAAAGCTGATTTTGGAGTACAAGCACGAAAAAACAATTTTTGCCTAAAAGTGCTATAACTTAATGAAAAATCATCAGAATGGAATGGTTCACGTGGCAATTTGAAGCTTATTGAATGAGCTTCGGAATGACTATAAAATATATAAGGTTCATCAAATAGGAAGAGAGACATTAGCGCGAAAACCAGAAAAAGGATTAGCGCCCCGGTCACAGATTGTTCTATAGGAGAACATATATTATAAACTTTCACGATCGTCTATATAATACCCAGAGACTTTAAAATTTCACCGCGATCTGCCCTTAGTGGATCACTCCATTGTCTATAGAACCATGTAGACTATTTTTCATGTATATCATGCGAATGGCTATGAGAAATCGCAATAAGTCCGAAGAACTTGTGTTTCAGGCTCACATCAATCACCGCCATGTATCAGCTCCGCCTCAAACCGGACAAAGTATGTCGGTAGATCCTTTACCACAATATGTTCATTCAAAATCGGACCTCGAGTCCCCAATCGGAAAAGTTCCCTCAGGATCACTGCAACCGATTAGAGTGAAACAAATCCAATCACACATCGTTCAACCCATGATGGGCAATGACCCAAGAGTCAATTCAATGATCAATCAGCCAACAAGTGAACAGAGGCAGCAACACCGATCTCAAATGGCAACATTACAAAGTTACAATCAGAATTCGGGCTCAACAAATCAAACAATGCGGACAAATTTGATAACTGTCCCGATTCAAGATACATCAATAACAAGTGATATACATCCCCCTCAAACCCATCATTATTATCAAAACCCCCAAATCAATTATGGATATAATGTGCCACCGCCAGTATCACAGAATCAGAACTATTTCCCTACTCCTCAGCACTCTGGTCAGATTTCTTATACAGCACAGCAACAGCAACAGTACATTTCATCTGTTACGAACATGCGTCCATCGCCCAATGGTTATGTGCAGGATACTCCATATAACCAACAACAAGTAGCTCCACCTCAATGGCCACAACATCAACAACAATTTTATAGATGAACTAGAAAACGGTCTTGACAATAAGTTCTACATTCTACCAGCCGCATAGGAAAACTTTTTTATTGGTCTTGTCGGTGGTAACGAAGAAATTGTGCCCATGGTATTGCCAAAGTTATAGATAAAACGGATTTCTAGGGCAGACTGATGGGCACTGTAATCGATAAGGAAGCTCTCCGGGAGAAGTTATACATTCTTAAAAATGAAATTGACTAAAAATTGAAGTTATGAATAAAATTTTTAGGTTTTGTTTTGCATTCCTCATTCAATTATTTTAGAATTATCAGAAAAACCCTTGATATTTTCTTGCATAAGAAATATTTTCTAGCACATCCACGAATATGTCGTTGTTTTCATCCATTATCAAAAAAAAAATATATATATATATATATCTATATGTGAATCAATTGGATAGTTTTGCAAATATTTTTGAAACTAATTGTTTTATAAAGACATCCTATAAAATTAGAGATCCCCCAATTGTCTGTAAAAAGAGCGCCCGGTTGTCTTTTCTCAAAAATTTCTTGCCTCAACAATGTTTGTGAAAATACTATGTAAATACACAAGGAACAATTAGTTACGAAATTTAAACGTAATGTTCAAACACGTTTCCGATTTTATTGTATTTTATGATAATTTTTTTGCAAGATTATATAATTTTTTTAAAATTCAATTCATTTTATTTGAAAATTAAGTATACTAGGCGAGACGCGCGCTAGTTAGGCTGCTTGTGATTGATGCTTATGCTATACTTTTTCAATCGATCATACTCAATTCCGGATATTTTATTGACCGGATCGATTGTCCTTGATTACCGTTCTAACGATTTTGGGTTTCTTCCCCGGAAAGTGTAATGTTACTAAACAATGTTCCCCCTGAAAAAATCCAAGATCTGACACTTTGGCCCCCGCTGAAAATGTTTTTTTTCAGTTTTCACCTTTTCCACTTACTTTTGAGAGTTTTCAATAGCCCGTCGCTCAAATCATTGGAATCAACGTTCACCCAGCTATAAAATTCGATTTTGGCGAAAGTCGACTTTCCCCTTTTTTTAATACTCGGGAGAAATAATGATTACTATTCATAAGTGAGGAATAATACAAGAATGACAAATTTGGTGATTTTTTCTTCTTAAATTTCTGTACAATAAGATTACATATCCATATGAAATATTTACATCTCATTCATTGTCACAAGTAAAATAACATTCTAAACATATTTTAATTCACCTCAAAAAAGTAATAGAGAAATTCCATCTGTTTTTATTATTTCACATAATAAATCGACGTCTCTTAGAAGTAACGAAATACCTCGGCAGCATAATTTCAAAAGCTCTATCTCGCAAATCAATTTGAAAAATGTAACTCAATGTTGTGGTTTAAAAAAGTTGAACTCAATTCTTTCACAAGAAAGCATTCTCTGGTGGAAGAAAAGAATGATCGTAGGCTATGTCATATATTCTGCACATACACAAACTTCATTATGATATTAAATTTCATAGCTTACTGAATGTCTTTTGCCTGAGCCATACCTTTTCAAATTTCCGCTGAGATAGTACCGCTGAGATAGTACTTTCATGTGGGAGGAATGGAGTTGGGTCTTTTTGAATCAAAATACTGAGTTAGATGTTGTTGCATTTGACTTCCGAAATAGAGCTTTTTAAATCATTTTCCTGATACATGCCTTTTTTTCAGGATACGTCTGGATATCACGAAAGTACAAGGCATTCTGCCTGTAGACGTTGTATTCACCTAAAAAAAAGTACAATCTGTTGATAACTACGGATACAGAAGTCTTTCTTTCCAAAGGAACCAAGTTTGCATTAACATTAATCGGAAACTGATAATATTAAGGAACAAACACTTTTTCCAAGTTTTTTCGTGTTTTGGTTTCAATTACAGGATGCATCAATCATTCTTCACTTTCGTATGCAAGCGATTCTCATCACATATTCCCAAAAGTTTGATTCTGAATATTCAAGTTGAGTTGCGGTATAAGTGGAGACGGGACAGGTTTTGGAAGTGCTGATTCTGGTATTGACACAGATACCACTGCAGACGTTGATGAGTGTTTTTTATGTTTATCCTGTTGCCAAGGCCTTGCATGGTCTTTACTCAACCGTTCGCTCAATGCTTTCAGTGCTATTTGTCTATAAACATAGGTAGTGATTACACAAGACATTGGGTACTCAATTAATTCATACTTTTCATTATGTCGCTAGGTCCTATGAATAGTTTTCGGACCTGGCAATATGGAATATACCTAATGCATTACACGGAGATGATAGTGCTTGATGGCGAGTATGGGTATTTTCTTCATGTGATTCACCAGGGAACGAATCTTCACGTTAAAAAATGCTGAACCTTTATGAATACTGAACATTTTATGGGCGAACATAAAATAAAGAGGAATCTATGAAAAACTAATGAAAACCAATGAAAAATTGATTGAATATAAATGGACAGACATATGTTCAGAACATATAATTCATGGAAAAATCATATTTCCAATTTGTTATTAACGGCCATCAATTCTGAAGATAGTTAACTTCGGGTCGGGAAGTTGGAAATTTTGACCACGTTCGAAATAATAATAATAAGCAGATCCCAATTACATTTTTCATGGGACCAAACGATGTACCTGAATTTTCTAGCAAAACATCTCCAGTAAATTATTTGTTGATTGAAAAATTCTAGACTCATGTTTCTTGATAGGTGTTTTTGCTTGTTGGCAAATGTTGAAATTCAATTATCTACAAACCTTCGTCTTTCACTGTCCTGAGGATCGATTCCAGGTAAACTGATGACCAGCCCTGGTGGTGCGTTGGACATATCAAATCTTCGAACGACCTTCTTGCATAAACCAATACGAACAAACAAATTGTGTAGTGTATTACTCACGATAGCTACTGGTGGTTGTAAAACGTTCGGGAAAAAACTACGGAGAAAAATTATATTGATGTTAAAAATAAGGAAAGTGGCAAATTACTTGATTACTTCAATACCTAGCAAATGTAAAGTTGTCAGTCATATCCCCTTTTGTTCCATTTGAATGCTTCTGATAAAACCTCAAATAAGTCCATGAGACAAACAAACCACTCAGAAACATGGTCGGCTGGGTTCCTTCTAACAAACCAACAATCCATAGTAATAAGAGTAGAATCCAGACCGTCAATGGAACATTTCTATTTGTGATTTTTCCCACCGGAGTTTTTGCGAGAATATGATCGGGCATTATCTGTTTGACCGCAACACTGACTCCTGAAAAATAAAAGTTGAAAAATGAACTAATGATATTGTACTAAATAACGAAAATCCAAACAAAAACTAAGGAATTGCATTCCATATTTTACTCTGTAGCAAGTGTTATTTTTTCAACTAGCAATAATACTTAGAAGAGATAATAATTGTTTCAATATTGACCAATGACTCATTTCTCTGTAATCTTATAATATTCTTCAATTGAGGTTATTTCAGAACCATCATGAAATTCAATGTTTTTATTGAATGAATTATTCCTTTTTTCGTCTATAAAAAATTTGCTTAAAAAAATCGCTGTTTTAGAGATGTCTTTTCTGAAGACGTGTCACGCGAGGAAATGTGTTGTATGATTCTTTTGGTGTCTTATTTATATTTATATTTTCTACGAGCTCCGATTCATCTCCTTACTTCTAATAAATTGAGAAAATTACATAAATTTTTACCAGCTATGTATCCCGTAAGTCCATGAATATGAATTTCAAACAAAAAACTTGGATCGTCAGTGCACATGAAGAGAAACAAATAAAACATTGCCGATAGAATGGCAACGCCAATATTGACAATCGCAAAGAAAGTCATCATTTCCATAGCACCCCACAGAGGTTCAATCAATTTACCGCATAGTCCAACCGTGATAATGTCAGCGCATACCTCCCAAAAATGTATTTCCAAAAAACAAAATGTAAGTGCTGTCCATATCCAAAAGACAGAAGGTAATAAATAGCCTGGTGTGACACTTAGAGTTAGTACTGCTTGGTCTATGTAAGACAAACAATACGATAAAAGTACAATTATACAGATAACTTTCACACTAGCACTGGTATTTCCAAGAAGTGCAACGAACTGCTGCCGCAGATACGGGATATTATGTCCCAAACCCGTCATAAATGCCATTTAAGCGTGAATTGTTATTCACTTTTCAGTTATGATTATGCTCCTTTCTTTCCGATAAGCAACACGGAGCTGTTTTCTAACCTAACAAAATTATTACACCCCATCAGGGCATCAGGAGGGGTGTCACCAAGAGGATTGACCAGCGAATTTCGTCCAACACATGAGATCCCATCAATTAGCCCCTCATGTATAGATATTCCAAATTTTTATTTTTTTCCTCATTGAAGTAGTTTTGAAAAAAATTGCGAGCTAATAAAAAACATTTGCTAGTTAGTACTTTTTTTTAAATAAATTTTTGAAAAATCACCCCTGAAAAAAAAGGCGTTATCCCCCCTATTTAATTATTTCCAAAAAATTTTATCACCAATCGGTAGCAAATTGTTTGAAGATTTTTGCGAGTTAAAAAAAAATCGTCAATGAACTCCTATTATTGTGTAAATTAACAATTCCAATTTCAACTGAAAACCAGAGTTGTAGACCCGAGTTTGTGGCAGCGATGTGAGACAAGATATGAATGTTTTTTTGGACTCAAATGAAAGAGCGGGTCGAGAAATGACGTGCTAGAGCCTCTAAACATGACAAATGTCTCTAAAGATGATATCTTTTTTCAATTGAAAAGCAGAGTTGTGACAACATTGTCTAGGAGGACAATGGGGTCTAGGAGTATGTATAGAACATTGGGGTCTAGGAGTCTCCCATGGTTCAAAACCATCTTTAGAGGTCCTAGCACGCCATTTCTCGACCCGCTCTTTCGTTTGAGCCCAAAAAAACATTCATATCGTGTCTGACATCGCTGCTACAAACTCGGGTTTTCAATCGAAGGCCCTTTTTCTATTAAGACGCGAAGGCGCTTTTTTTATTAAGAGATAATATAGCGCCGCCACGCGGCAACTTTTGAAGTCGATGAAGTGCTCGAACCACACTCTATTTCTATCTCATACCGTTCATGGCCAAACCGTCCGTTCGAATTCGATCCTCAGAGAATCGAACGGGGGTTGGTGTCAGCCAATGTGTTAGCGTTCATGTCATCAATGAATAGAAAATATCACTACTTTCTGCACTTGAATATTTTTATTTGTATCACTTTTCAGCTACCTAGCTTGAACTTCCCGGGCGTTTCGGCTCCTTTCCCTTCTACTCATTCTACTCTACCAATTAACCGTGAGCAGTTTTCCTCCACAGGACTGTTAGACAAAGAAGCATTGGGACGGGCATCCTCTCTCTCTTTCTCATTTCCCCAGATCTGTGTTACAGAGGAGATATAGGAAATGCGCAGTCTAGGTATAATACATCTATGGTTAAGGGAGCCTTCCCCCACCATAGGAGTTTCCAGCCTGTATGTAAGACTCTGTAAGACCGTGCTCTATTATATCTTAGTTTTATTTATCGTCGCAATTCTCTCATTTATCTGAATTAAAACTGGTATTGGTAATAAAAGGATACAAAAAAAAGAGGAAAAGAGTGCGAAACAGAAGGTGGAGGAGGAAAAAATAAAAATTTTCAATTATTTTGGAAAAATGGCTGACCACAGAGAACGAGACTCTTATTATTCACAGACTGACCCACGTTCTAAAAATGATGATCCACCGAATTCACGTTTGTTTGTTATTTGTCATAAGAGTCTGGAAGAAGATGATGTCAGAAAGGCATTCGAGAAGTTTGGAAAAATTGAAGATATATGGGTTGTCAAAGATCGCACCACAGGTGAAAATAAAGGTAATTTTCTTAATCATTTTTTTTGTCCACTCAGTCATCTATGGAATTTGAAGCAAAATTCTACTTTTTTATTACTCAGGCTCGATACATAAACATTCATTATTCATTGTTTCTTGGCAGGAGTCACATATATAAAATTTTCGAAGACCTCTGAAGCGGCATTCGCACTTGAAGAGATGAATGGAAAGATGTTGGGATCAGTAGGACGCCCAATCAAAGTCATGATTGCATCAAAGTAAAAAATTATTTATTCATCATAGAATTTAAACCAAACAGACAATTGAGTCAGTCTATGCAAATATTCCTAAAACTATCTTAAGAGACAGTTAAAGAAAAAGAGATGGGTCGTTAACCTCTCACGTACTGGGCGCTACAGTTATCAAATCTGACGGAAAGTCAATGTCACTGGGATTTTATGAATCTTGATGAAATATTCTAAGATATAAGATAAACCGATCAGCGTTCTACACATTCGTTCGTCCGAATCTACACGATCGAACGAATTTACATATTTATCGTGGAACAAATACTTATTTCAGTAGAATGGAACTTTTGACTTTTTCAAAAACCAATATAACGATCATAAATTCAATGAGATGTTGTGAAACGTTCCCATACTAAAATCATTCCTGAATCTTGTACGTTCTATCGCTGGTATTTGACGACTTTTGCTCGTTCGAACATTGGACGCTTCACCCTAAGGGCAAGTGGTAGAAAAGGCATACTTCACTTTTTTTTCAATTCAAATTAATTCAAAGATACGCTTGGTTATCTGGGTACTGTTGTTTGTGCCAATTTCCCTTGCCCTGCCATGTATGATTAAGTCAATGTGTTCATTGATAGAAAGAATTCCTTATTGCTTTCCTGTTATAAACTCTCCTCACTGTTCTTTTCCAATCCTACCCCTTGTTTTTTTCTCTAGCAACCCTTACTCTTCTCTCTCTCTCTCATTCACCTAACAATTCGTTCACCATGGAATGACTTTGAAGTTCTGGGAGCAGAATTGTGAGCTATTCTTTTGTTATCTATTCTTGGTTTATCTCTTCCTATAGAAACTTCCCGTTAAATTATAATGAAAATTTGAAATTGATGAATTCTTACAAATAAGTTATATCAGTGATTTAAATGAACAATTTGTCGCATGCTTTTCAAAAATGAAAAACAATTCGAAAATATTATGCGCGAAAAACATGATTCAATGTTCTCCTAGCAACACAGGAATAATATATATTTGTCGTTTTGTCTGTCAGCCGTGATCAAGGGTCAGTTCGCGAGACGAACGAAGAAGAACGATGGGTACGCTTATTTTGTGTATTACCCAAATCTATGACCGACCATGAATTACAGAATGAATTTGCCAAATTCGGTCCAATTGAGTACGTAACGGTGGTGAAAGATAGAAATACAAATGAGTCAAAAGGCTTTGGTTACGTAAAATTCAAGAAAGTATCAAGTGCAGCAAGAGCCTTTGAGGAATGCGACCGAAAGTACAAGGCTGTATTCGCTGAGCCAAAGAAGCCAAAGCCAGATCACTCTGATTCTAAATACAACAATGGCATGTCAATGTCATATGAGAGTATTAGTAATAGCTACGGTTCAACGAATTTCGGAAAAGGTGCAGTTGGCCTTGAAATTGCAACAAATTATCAAAATCCAGATGGTTACACACGACTACAGGTCATTGCACATCCTGCACTAAATCAAGATCAACTCTGGAAGTTATTTGACATCGTGCCTGGTCTGGATTATTGCCATTTAAAGACGGACGTCAGATACAGAATGCCGCGTGGACAAGCAACAGTTGTTTACTCCCATCCAAGTGCTGCAGCATATGCCAGAGAGAAATTCCATGGATTTGAATATCCACCTGGGCATCGGATGATCGTTAAGCCTGATATGGTGGGTTTAACGCAGCAAAAAAATACGGTTAAACCAGGTGGATCAAGTTTAACTGGTATAAATACGCGAACGGATCTAGCGCACCTAGCGGAAACAATTGCACAAGCTACGTCATTGATACAGGCTGCTGGACTAACGGCTCCGAGTTAGTTTTTTTTACTATTATTCTCATCACGCAAATTGAAAGTTATTATTACACAATTTTTCTTTCTATTACTCGAGGAGAAATAGAATATGTAATAGCAACAGCGCGGTCGCGTTATTCTTTATTCCAGGATATGCAATGTGTCCCATAACTTTTGACGGAAATTTTAAAGGAAACAAGATGAAATTCAGAGTCGGAAATTTCTCTTTGATTTTGGGAGAATTCATGGGAGATTAGCGATAGGGTAAAAAAGAATGGCAGTGTCTATTCGCACGCAACACGGTAAATTTTACTGTGGACCCATAATAGATTCTCACTGACCATTTGTCTGACATTTCTGCTATGAACTCTGGATCCCCACCACTCGAATAGCGACGCCAGCACTTGGCTTTGACGGGCATAGAGTGGGGATATTAAAATTGATCTTAGAGCATTAATTAATTACTCATTAACCACTGCTCGCAGTCAAATGTCGGCGATGTACTTTTCATTCGGAAATTCATCCTCTTTCATCTCTTAAAATTTTGGCCGTAAGTTTTGGGGCACAAAATGAACAAAAATTTTTGATGACTTCAGGTTTGGAACACAATGTTTCTTTGAAATTGCCACCAGTGCAACCAATGGCTAGTATAGATGCTGAAGTCGAGAAAAGATGTTTCATTGTGTGTGGACCACCTGTGCCTCCCATCTACGCTATGAAAGATGCTTTCTGCAGATTTGGTAATCTTATTGATGTCTACATGCTTCCAGGAAAAAATTGTGGGTATGCTAAGTATGCCAGTATTGAGAGCGCAAATAAAGCTATTGAGGTGACTATTGAAATTAATTTGAGATTTGACGTTAACAGCCAGTTATGATTAATCAACATATCCTTCCTAAAATTATTCAATGATAGATACTTCATGGTCAAGAAATTTGCGGTTCTCGGTTGAAAGTTCTGGAAGCTGAGGAGCGTAATGACGATCGTCGCAAACGTTTGCGAATGGATGAAGAGGAGCATTAAAAAGTCAACTGCTTTACTTTTGTTTTCGGTGTCACGTAAGTAAAAGAAAAATATGAGAAACTGAACCAAACAACGACTATGTTTTATTGACGAATTATGGAAGGAACGATTTATAGTGGAGAGCAAAAAAATACATAATTTTTTTTTGTATTTATCTTCACAGACTGGTTAAACACAAGCTGGACGCACGCAACGATGAGACTATAAAAATATGCATATTAACAATAATTTCTAAGACTCAGTTGACCTCCGTCGGGCCAGCAACAGAGGAAAATTATCTACAACAAATATTCACTATTTTAAAGAGCTGTTCTCATTTTTTTTTATTCCTTCACAAATTCAACATGGAAAACTCCAATATTACATCACTTTTTCTCAGTTCCACAATTACAACACTTAGATTCGAAGTATTTCTATTTGTTTTGCAAATAGGCCTGTGCGAAGACTGATTCATTTTTAGTAGTTCATTATAGATTTTGTTCATAAAAAACCAATACAAAAAAAAGGAAATAACTGTCTCGATCAATTGCTGCTCATCAAATACTGATTGTGCTTTGGGAGAAAAAATGATAACAGAAACAAATAAAATACTTGTCACAAAACGTAAAAACTTGATGCAAATGAAGAACGTCCAAAATATATTTTTATACAACAATAAAAAGTCCGGTTGAGTAAATTCAAAATAAATTAAAATACGAATTAGGCGAGAGAAAAAGCGAGAGAAAAATATACAATCATTTATACAAATGAGGTTTGGTTTTTAATGCTACATTGTTCGCACAGGCTTTCATGTTTAGCATGTGTCTTGACATGTATTTTTTATTTATGGTGTAAAATCTATGCATGTGGCCTTTAAAATTTTCATATATTGAAATTAGAGATTTCATACAATTTTTATAGTTGAACAAAAATTAAAGAGGCATCATACCAACAGTTAGCAAGTTCCAAGTGGTTATTGAACCACACACATTATTCATCAAACACACCGATTAATCATTTCGGTTTTCTCTTCAAAGTACAATAATTTTGAAAGCAATTAACCGATTCTGTTCATTAACAATATCAATTGTGCCTATCGCTAGCAGTAACAGCATGTCAAAGTTGAACGTTCATGGATCGGATACATCGGATAGTACTAAAGCTAGCGTATTAACGAGGTGACCTTTCTATCGTGAAAAATGCTTGAGTTCAGAATTGAGGAGCGAATCGTGAAAAATGGATCAATTTTGGTATTTTTTTAGTTATTATGGAGGCACATATTCTGGTAAAACAATTATCATCACAATTGGTTGATAGATCTCAAAAACTATTTAATTTATTTTACTAATAGCATTTTTCTGGCGCCACTTTTTCCGGCAGCAAGCTTGCCGCGTTTCTCAGTAACCGAAAATTTGTAGTGACTGACAACGTCATTGTCAGTTGTCACTTATTTTACGGACTGAACAAAAAATCGACATTTAGGCTCGGATTCTACTTTTTTCGTTTAGCGTTTCGTTTAGCGTTTTTTTTTTATTGTTGAGAACCGCGGCGATCTTACTGCCGCAGTAAGTTGTGCAAGAAAAACACTATTACAATTTTTAGAGACAATAGTATTTCAAGAATGAATTTCTATACCATTGGCCTTGTTTTAACGATGATCATTATTTACTCATAAAAGTGGATTGACTGTACACGTAAAGGCTTAAGTATTAGTTTGCAAATAAACTCATCAAACTAGCGTAAGATTCCAGTAATGTTCAACGGATTAGATTTATTTTCTTTTCAACATCATCGTTTCAAATCAGCTAGGGCAAATCTTTAGGGTTTTTTGGTGCATAACTCTAAAAAAAAATTGATATCGAGAAAACCAACAGAATTCTACATTTTATTGAATAAACATGCAAAATAAGTGTATAAATATTTTAAATACGAAAAATAACATGAGAATAATTGGAATTCCATGACAAGTAATAACTCCGTAAGTGAAAACCATAATTTTTTTGTTCATTATACAATAGAGAGTGAAACATTAACTCTTGACACTTAAAAACTAATGGACTGTATATTGACTGTAACTGGAGTGTTGACATAATGAAAATACACAGAATATGAAGGAAATTGAATAAAATCTTTTCTCAAATAGTTACCGATACCGATTTACTTCTATGCATTAATGATACTTTAAAAAATATATTTCTTCTCCATTTTCAGGATATGTGATGAACATGAAGTACCTGATGGCAACTGTGATATTAAGAAGAATCTTTATATTTGATCTCAAAAATATTTTTTACCTTTTGATAGACATATATTACTTTTTGAGAAATAAAATTTTATTGAAGATTCAAACCAGACAAGAGTCAAATAAACTTTGACGAAGATTTCCTTCCCCTTAACAAAAATGCAACTAAACGGATGTTATTAGTATCAACAACTTGTACAATAAAAGCCTTTTTATAATTAATGCATATTTACGGAAAGAGTTTTAGGTCGAAAGAAATACAATATGTGTCAGGATGCTTTTGTGGATAAAGGTACGAAATAGAGGAATGATGGAAACGATCGTACATGAAGGCAATTGAGAGAAAAGAACGAATCCGTAACAGTGCGGAATATCAGAAGTGACTTTTTGGAAAAGGGAATGGACCAGTAAGTGAAAGTGTGATATAGCGGATAATATCTTCGTATTCGAAACCCAAATGCACTGCTGTATCAGAGTACTTCGGTATGAGGAGGAACGTTCTCCGACCAGAAAAAAAAATGTATTATCAAAATTACCTGTTGTTACTGCGGGTTCATTGCATGTTTTACAAATTAGTCTGACAATATGCAATAAATTACAAAATACAGATAACAAAGATCAGCTGTATAAAAGAAGCTTGTAACAACAACACTATCTATGCTTGAAAATGACGGCGGATATTTTCTATATTCGTCATTCATATACGCGGCACATTCAATTTTCGGAATATGGGGACAACGATCTTCTGTAATTCGGACAGTTAGCAATTCTGATGAAGGGATTCCGACACACTTGAACCCAAAGCCATTACTTCCATTCCGCTGTTCCACTCAAGCAATATGAAACACGAGCTTGAGATTCACAAGATGAGGAACACTCCATTCATTCTAGGACTCCAACACACTTCAAACCGTTTTTCAGAATTTTAGTAAACAACTGTATGTACATATTACCGAATAGTCGGTAAAGAAGAGTCACATTCTCTATTTAATAAATCGTAATAAATGCCATTCAGAAAATGTGACACATTCAAAGAACTGAAGGCTAGGAACGAAAAAACGCGGTTCGTTTGTTTAGTCAAAGAAACCATTAAATTATGACTGTATTAGAAACGACGTGTAAATCCTTAATTTTCATTATTTATGCCAATGAGTGAATGCCTACAATTACGGTGCTTTCGTAAAGTTTATTTTGCTGAAGAAAAATTGGCGTTGGGGAAAGTTTTTCATACTCCTTGCTTCTCCTGTTGTTAGTACTTGAAACTCCATTTCATCGTATTATCATAGATTTTTTTTCTGTAGCTAAGAGTGTTTGCAAATGTTTATTATGCATTCAAGATACATTACTTTTTGTTAACCAATTGTGTTTCAGGAAACTGTGGAAAATTATTATATAGCTGGAGTGTGACAACATAGGATGATCTATACTGTAAAAAGTGTTGTTCATAACCGAAAGCAATCTATCCCCATTTTTGGAATTCAGTAAGAAGAAAAGGCCTTTAAAGTTAGATGTAGATCGAAAATCTGAAGAAAACAATGAATATGGAGCTAATTCAACCGGGCAATATCGTCCGGTAATGAATTGTTGATTTGCATTCGCAAGTAATGAAAGTATGTCATTTCACTTTGTTTTAGAAATTAATAGCCACATTGATATTTCATTTCTGAATTCAATGCATCCACTATATGTATAGTAGGATGCACAATATATTATGGGAAAAATTGGTTATGGTAACACATATGTTGAAAAAAATTAATAGGAAAAAGCAGTCCTTTCCTCCCCTAATTGTGAGGAATTTGGTGTGGAACTCTATAAAAATACCATCGGACTTCCATTAGAATTTCATTTAGCCCGGTGGCCTGGCGTAGTGGTTAAGGCCGTTGCCTCACAACGGATAGGTTCCAGGTTCGATTCCTGGCCGGGTAGAATGGTGAGATCTAACCATTTTTAAAGTCTTGATCAATCGCCATATAGTCTCATCAGACTCGAAGCGATATAAAATAAGCAAAAAAAAAAAAAAAAAAAAGAATTTCATTTAAAATCCAATTCGTTTATCGTATTATTTTCTATTAGAAATTATGCAACTCTTCGATGCGAAGATTTTTGCGATAGATAGTTACTAGAGAAAAATTAATAGATTATGATTTTCCAATGTGGATAATTGATCTCAAATATTTTAAGCGAGAATTTTTCAATATATATTTTGGAAGTTTTTTCCGCTATTGTTTTTACTATGAAATTGAACGAAAAGAAACTGCAAAAATTTCTTCCCAAAAATTGTTCTGGAAAAAAATTGCAACCAAAGAAGATGAATAGAAATATCAATATCTATTGACGTATTTCAATGAAATATTGATTTGAAAATGCACAGCAAAGTTACATAATTATATATGAGTGAATCTGTTGATTCTGTATAGGAAATATTGCCTTTACACTTTGAAAGTTTCTTTCTTTTTTTTACCGAAAAGTATAGTTCGAAACAAGAAACACGAGTGCAACTGGAGCTCACTAAATCAATTATTGATTGAGGTATTGAAGATTTTTTTCTTGTTCTTCTACTAACTTTTTTTGACAATTGTAATTGCATAAGACTCGAATGTTTTTCTTCGTCTTTCATTCTGCCACTGGTGCTAATGACCTCCAGGAAAAGAGAGAAGGAAACCCCTTATGGAACTTTAATTTACTCAAATCAATATCCCAATATAAAAAAGAAACGAAAAAAGAATACATTCCCATATTTTTTCATATCGCCATAAAAAAGTGAATAAATAAATGAAATTGTTATGGTCTCAACTCTTTTAAACTCCGCATCTTTTTGCGTAAAATTTTTATGAATCTTGTCAGCAATTTTTACTCAAAAAATTTCCCATCATCTAGCCTTCCAGTACTATTATCACTCAATAGTCGAATAGTGAACGAATAAAAATAGTGGAATGCAAGAAATCAAATTTTTTCACTGTTCTGAACTGAGCTCTGCGCGGCCCGTTTTCAAATTTTTCTTTCCTTAATCCTCAAGTAGCCGCATCCTGAGGGAATCCCCCTAAACCGTACTCAACCTATAGGACGCCACTGTAGAGCAATTGAGCTGCTAGAAAAGCGCGACCTCTTAAGGGTTAATGAAATGAGTCAGTAAAAATCTGAAAACATTCAATTGCTGACTTTGGGTCATACCGAATTTACTGGAAATTTTTTTGATCGTTATTTTACATCGCTTCGACCCGGTTCGGGTATACTGCGATGATGATCAAGATTTAAATGGTTAGATCGCCCCATTCTACCCGGCCGGGATTTGAACTCGGAACCTTTCGCATATGAGGCATCGAACTTACCCACCGCGCCAAGCCACCGGGCGAGTGTTGGCAATTTTACTGTTCATACTGGCACTGATTGAATACCGAAAAGTTTGACAACTATGTATCATTTCCCTATTGTTAACGTGAATATAGCTTCAATACATTTCACGCTCACTCTGGTGAAGGTGTTGGAAATGAAATGTTCCCACGTGTACAGCGTCAGATTATTCCAGTTACATTCTGAACTCTTTCCGGATCCCGGCTCGCCTCTCGGTATTTTTTTTAATTCTTGCCTAAACAGTTTCGATTTCTGGTCAGATTTTTACAGGTTGTCTTCACAATTTGCTGATGGGAGAAATTCTTCGAAGATCTCACCAAACGTTCTTCCGAAATACTCAACGTCTTGCGAAGTCTCCTGTCACCATATCGAATTACCAGGAATGATGAAAAATATTATAGATGGAGCTTTCAAAGACAATGAAATAGACGGGTGGAGTTCAATCGGAGAACAGAGATTACGGGGTGGCTCCGGATGTCATTGTGGCCAGATTGCTTCCAATCTAGAGTCAACCATCCATCATGACTGTTATTGGAAAAGTTCCAAGAGTTGTCAACCACCGCAAAACTCTTGTAAAATCAACAGAGATGGAAATCGAGGATTCTGTCATGGTGGTTGCAGAGGAGGCTGGGACACATGTTTACCAAAAAAATCTCAAACTGCAGCATCTGAATCTTGCCAGAGACCTACTCATTTACCTGTGAAGTCAGTCAGCTTTCGGTGATGAATTCTATTTTTTTGAGATTATAATGTTGATTGAATTGAACGTGTGGGGAAATGAATAGAAAGAAAATTATATGTGTTCGAAATTTAATTATACTTGGTTATTTCACTGATATATATTGTGACGTATTCCGTACCTCTGCGGAAACGAACCGAAAATACGCGATATTTTCCAAAAGGCGCCAGTACGTTTTCTATCAAAGCGCACAAAAACTAAAATTCGAATTCCACAAAATCAACCAACAATGGAACAGCTGCCGATAGCTCAGTACATCAACCGCGGAGGCAGCTGGTTCCAACATGGAAAGTGCTTGAAAATGGCCTCTGCAAGGCCTCAAAAATGAACGAATGAACGTTGATTCTCTATTTTCTGGCCCGCCTAATGCTACTGAGACTCTGACTTGCCCCAGAAATGCAGAAATAAAAAATTTTTTTTTCACCCGGAGCCAAAGTGCCATATTTAGGCTTTTTTCGGGGGGAAAGTCGACTTTCGCCAAAATCGAATTTTTCCGCCGGGTGAACGGTGATTCCGTATTTTCTGGCCCGCCTAATGCCACTGCGCCCCTCACTTGCCCCAGAAATGCAGAAATAAAAAAATTTTTTTTTTCCACCCCAAGCCAAAGTGCCATATTTAGGCTTTTTTCGGGGGGAAAGTCGACTTTCGCCAAAATCGAATTTTTCCGCCGGGTGAACGGTGATTCCGTATTTTCTGGCCCGCCTAATGCCACTGCGCCCCTCACTTGCCCCAGAAATGCAGAAATAAAAAAATTTTTTTTTTCCACCCCAAGCCAAAGTGCCATATTTAGGCTTTTTTCGGGGGGAAAGTCGACTTTCGCCAAAATCGAATTTTTCCGCCGGGTGAACGGTGATTCCGTATTTTCTGGCCCGCCTAATGCCACTGCGCCCCTCACTTGCCCCAGAAATGCAGAAATAAAAAAATTTTTTTTTTCCACCCCAAGCCAAAGTGCCATATTTAGGCTTTTTTCGGGGGGAAAGTCGACTTTCGCCAAAATCGAATTTTTCCGCCGGGTGAACGGTGATTCCGTATTTTCTGGCCCGCCTAATGCCACTGCGCCCCTCACTTGCCCCAGAAATGCAGAAATAAAAAAATTTTTTTTTTCCACCCCAAGCCAAAGTGCCATATTTAGGCTTTTTTCGGGGGGAAAGTCGACTTTCGCCAAAATCGAATTTTTCCGCCGGGTGAACGGTGATTCCGTATTTTCTGGCCCGCCTAATGCCACTGCGCCCCTCACTTGCCCCAGAAATGCAGAAATAAAAAAATTTTTTTTTTCCACCCCAAGCCAAAGTGCCATATTTAGGCTTTTTTCGGGGGGAAAGTCGACTTTCGCCAAAATCGAATTTTTCCGCCGGGTGAACGGTGATTCCGTATTTTCTGGCCCGCCTAATGCCACTGCGCCCCTCACTTGCCCCAGAAATGCAGAAATAAAAAAATTTTTTTTTTCCACCCCAAGCCAAAGTGCCATATTTAGGCTTTTTTCGGGGGGAAAGTCGACTTTCGCCAAAATCGAATTTTTCCGCCGGGTGAACGGTGATTCCGTATTTTCTGGCCCGCCTAATGCCACTGCGCCCCTCACTTGCCCCAGAAATGCAGAAATAAAAAAATTTTTTTTTTCCACCCCAAGCCAAAGTGCCATATTTAGGCTTTTTTCGGGGGGAAAGTCGACTTTCGCCAAAATCGAATTTTTCCGCCGGGTGAACGTTGATTCCGTATTTTCTGGCACGCCTAATGCCACTGCGCCCCTCACTTGCCCCAGAAATGCAGAAATAAATTTTTTTTTTTTTCCACCCCAAGCCAAAGTGCCATATTTAGGCTTTTTTCGGGGGGAAAGTCGACTTTCGCCAAAATCGAATTTTTCGGCCGGGTGAACGTTGATTCCGTATTTTCTGACCCGCCTAATGCCACTGCGCCCCTCACTTGCCCCAGAAATGCAGAAATAAATTTTTTTTTTTTTCCACCCCAAGCCAAAGTGCCATATTTAGGCTTTTTTCGGGGGGAAAGTCGACTTTCGCCAAAATCGAATTTTTCGGCCGGGTGAACGTTGATTCCGTATTTTCTGACCCGCCTAATGCCACTGCGCCCCTCACTTGCCCCAGAAATGCAGAAATAAATTTTTTTTTTTTTCCACCCCAAGCCAAAGTGCCATATTTAGGCTTTTTTCGGGGGGAAAGTCGACTTTCGCCAAAATCGAATTTTTCGGCCGGGTGAACGTTGATTCCGTATTTTCTGACCCGCCTAATGCCACTGCGCCCCTCACTTGCCCCAGAAATGCAGAAATAAATTTTTTTTTTTTTCCACCCCAAGCCAAAGTGCCATATTTAGGCTTTTTTCGGGGGGAAAGTCGACTTTCGCCAAAATCGAATTTTTCGGCCGGGTGAACGTTGATTCCGTATTTTCTGACCCGCCTAATGCCACTGCGCCCCTCACTTGCCCCAGAAATGCAGAAATAAATTTTTTTTTTTTTCCACCCCAAGCCAAAGTGCCATATTTAGGCTTTTTTCGGGGGGAAAGTCGACTTTCGCCAAAATCGAATTTTTCGGCCGGGTGAACGTTGATTCCGTATTTTCTGACCCGCCTAATGCCACTGCGCCCCTCACTTGCCCCAGAAATGCAGAAATAAATTTTTTTTTTTTTCCACCCCAAGCCAAAGTGCCATATTTAGGCTTTTTTCGGGGGGAAAGTCGACTTTCGCCAAAATCGAATTTTTCGGCCGGGTGAACGTTGATTCCGTATTTTCTGACCCGCCTAATGCCACTGCGCCCCTCACTTGCCCCAGAAATGCAGAAATAAATTTTTTTTTTTTTCCACCCCAAGCCAAAGTGCCATATTTAGGCTTTTTTCGGGGGGAAAGTCGACTTTCGCCAAAATCGAATTTTTCGGCCGGGTGAACGTTGATTCCGTATTTTCTGACCCGCCTAATGCCACTGCGCCCCTCACTTGCCCCAGAAATGCAGAAATAAAAAAATTTTTTTACACGAGGTACTGTACATAGTCCCGTCAGTCTTTTTCATAAATTGCTCTGGATTCATAAAAGGGGTTATGAAGTAATAAGAAAGTATTTGAGCCTTTAAAATTATGTAATTATGTATATTATATATATATAAGCCTATATATATATATATGTTTCTTTTCACACATATGTGAGAAATTGACGATCCTATCCATAATTCTTGAAAATTACGTGAAAGGTCAGGCCTTCTACCAGCTTTTTGGAAAATTAATATTTTGGATTTTGATGTATTCGGAGTCAAGAACTTCTGTGAGAAGTAATCCTTAATGTGTCTCATTAAACGATGTAGCTGAAGGGAACTGTCTCCAAATAGAACGATGTCGTGCGCATCCGCCAGGAGCATTATTTCATTTTGGTGATCAACTGACACCCCCTTGCAACCCTTGTCCCGCAAAAAAATTTTGAGATCTGAACGAAATAGAGCAAAAAGTAAAGGGCTCTCAATGCTCCCTTGGAGGACAACCATAATCCGTGAGTCCGTCCACCGCTTGTATCGCAGTCTTCGCTTTGTCATACAAATGTTTATAAACATTGATGGATTTCGAGGAGACACCTAGTTTATAAAGTTTCGACCATAGTTTATAGTAATTCACACTGTCGAATGCACGGATGAAATCAATGAAAAAACAATATGATCTCCGTGTTGATTTTCATAGGACGTTTGACTCTGTGTGTTACTCCCGACTTTGGAATAAACTTCATTCAATAGGGGTTAGTGCAATGTTCATTAGAATTATCAAAGAACTGCATGACAGGGCGTCGCTACAGGTGAGATCGGGAGGAGGATTGTCGGAATCTTTTGATATTCCAGAAGGGGTGTTGCAGGGAAAGCTGCTGAGTCCTTTGCTCTTCATTCTCTTCTTGCATAACATCTAAATGGTTTTTAGAAATGAAGGTATCTATGGTGCTAGTATAAATAAAGATCGAGTAATTCTCCTCTTCTGTAATTATGAGAATTGTCAAAATTCGTCAGTGTTACTGTGATGATAATTCGCTGTGTGTCAACATAGGAAAGACCAAAATGGTTGTTGCTCGTTGTGAGAGGAGAGTAAACGGAGTAACACAAGGAGTTGTCGAGAATGGTAGGGCCCTTGTTACTGGTTTTACTTGTTTTTGGTGGTTTTTTGTCAATTTTGGGTAAAAAACGTACCCAACCGTTGTTTTTTTGTTTGCAGAAAATGTATTCATTATTGTCTCACGTCGACGAAGTTTCGTGACATTGGTTGCATTTTTACATTCAGTCTATGCATTTTTCCACATTTTCCATAAGAATACGGGTTAAATTCCGTTTTTAAAATAATTTATTCCATTCGAACCATCGATCTCAACAATCTGAAACTCCATACAGAGCATCGAAATATATGAAAGAATGTACTTGAAAAATTTCAAAAAATTGGCTGCATTTTTTTACCTCGCTTGAACATCGTTAAAGTGAGAAAAAACCGTTTTCCGCGGTTCTCCATAACAACATCACAATCCACGTTTAAACGCACTGGTGGCAACACATCAACGTTGGATGTGAGCATCAGTTGGACCCTCGCTGCCAACGTTCTAACTTAATTCTGATACTTTATAATATGAATCGCGAGAATGTGAATATCAGTCCGTTGCTATGCGCGTATCTTTTTTACTGTTAATCAAAAAAATACAATAGTTACACCGTTGAAAAGCTCATAGTCATTTTATATAATGTAACTAAGGACAGTTTTCCAATTTGTCGTCCCATTTTTATTATACAGAATGTCAATCATTTAATGGTAGTGGAGGGAGAAGTTCGGTCGTATACATTGGTGCGCGCGGCCTGATGTTTTGTACAGTTGGAGTCAAAACTTTTTTTGGCCGATACGCTACCGCGTATCTCGATGCCCCGAGAAATGCTCGAGTTTAGAGGGCCGTTTCACAACCCAAACCCGCGTATGGGCCGATAAAATGAATACGTGTCACTTAGTTTTGTGTCCTCAATAACATACATAAAGTTCATCAAAATAAGGGGTAGGGGATATCTATCT